AATATCTTTATAGAATCATGCTAGGTAAAAATAATTATAAAAAATATCTTTATAGAATCATGCTAGGTAAAAATAATTATAAAAAATATCTTTATAGAATCATGCTATGTAAAAATAATTATAAAAAATATCTTTATAGAATCATGCTAGGTAAAATAATTATAAAAAATATCTTTATAGAATCATGCTAGATTAAAATAATTATTTTTGTACATTATTATAGATATTTATTTTTCGTTTTATTGAGTGTTAAAGTTTTTCTCCTTTCAGGGACACTTATTATACCTGTCCCCTAGTGGCACAGCGGTATGTCTGTGGACTTACAATGCTAGAAACCCGGTTTCGATACCCGTGGCGGGCAGAGCACAGATAGCCCTTTCTGCTAAACTTCAAACAAACAAACTTATTACACCAAGTAAATGATATTTAAAAGTTCGTACTAAAGAAAAGAGAGGGCGCTGTTAAATATCGCTTAATTAAAGGTTACTAACCTTTTCAAGTGAAGAGATTGTTTCACGGCCAGTGACCATCGGCTAAACATAACAAAACATCATAACTTAAACAACCTTAAATGATAATGTCATTAAAAGAATCTTAACTCTAAGTGTAATATAAATTATAGTCGTGCTTGCTTTAGAGAAAAGTGAATTTAATCATTGGCTTCACAAAAGTAACGCAACATTACTTTGACATCAAAGCGCGGACGTTGTCGTACATGTATAATAATGAAATTGCTCACATTCACGCCTGAAGCCTTAAAAGCTTCGGCCGAAGTATTTTGTGTTTAATTAGTTTCGAAATTTCTACGTACTACACTTTAATGATCAGTTATAGGCATGAGTGAAAATGTGATTGTGTACTGTTATTTTATTTATTTACCACCTGATAATGCAACAACCTGGTAAGATAATAACCTTTCGAAATAGATAAAGTATTTACACTGATAAAGATTACATATAAAATGGGAAAATATCTATAAGGTGGTAGAAAACACTAACAATAACATATCTATAGCAATGAGAAAGTGTTAAATAAATCGTTTACACACAATTGATATTAAGCGTTAATATATTTCTATCCACGAGTGTAGCACGTAAATAAACACTCACGTTGTGAGAGAGCAGCGTGGAGATATTTTGAAATAGTTTATTTATTATTATTATTATTTTATCTAAGCATGTCCAATTTACAAGAAATAAAACTTTTAATTGAAGAATTTGTGAAATGCAACTTAATTTCGAGAAGGAATCGAAACATAATGATCTATATGATTTAAGTGGTAAGTAATTTTTTGCTTAACATTAGATTATAACAAAAATAATTAATTACGATTATCGTTTTTTGCATTTTCCGTGTCGGACTAAATAAGTGTACGTTACATTTAGAAATTTCATATCTCAGTTAGGCACATGTTATAACATACAAGCATACGCTTCTCTTGAAATAGTCCCCAAGTGACAAAGTCTAAGATTTATAACCCAAAAAATCGGGTTTCGACATTTGTGATGGGCAAGGTACAGATATCCCATTGTGTAGCTTTGTGCTTAACAATAAACTCTCGAAATAATATTAGGCTTTTCTCTTTAGCAGTATTTAAGTCCTTAATACATCGTTTGCACGAATCTTAACGTACAACTAAATTTAGTATAAACGAATAATATCAAGTCCATGTAAAACTATGATACCATTTGCCTTGTCCAATTCAAATTTCTAAGCAAAAGTGAGATGTATAGAATTATCTGAGGCGTGAAGGGGACGCAATGCAGTGACCAACATGTACATACACACAACACACATATGCTTTTATTACTCGCGATAAATGGGCTGCTTCAGTGGCAGTTCCTATTTTAATTGATTGTAAGAGAAGGTTCTCATCTCGTGCGCATATCACAAAAGTAGGTTTCGGAAATAAAACATTTGATGGGAGGCGCTGCTAGCAAGCAGTCGATATTCGTAACGAGTTTGGTTTCGAGAGTATATGAGTGTCAACATGGCTAGTTTCGTTTGGAGGATGGTTGCGTGTATTTGACTTCTGTATCCATGCGGTCTTGGGTCTTATTTTAAAAGATCCTGCACAGTTTCTCTACTATGTCTTTGAGCGTAGAAAACAAGAACTGGAAGCCATCAGATAAAGAAGGTACTGTTGACATTCTGTTTCGGCTATTTTTTGTCACGTAACCCGCGCTACTGCACTGATATTAATAGTTATAATTATATATTTTCAATAATCTCGGTAACGGTAACGATGTATAGGCGAGGTCTTTAAATTAATTTAAAACAGTATGATTTTGTCGCTCACCCCATGCCTCATTATTTGTTTAGACTTGTATTTATTGTATATTTTTAGTAATGTTAATACTAATGCAGTAGAACTGGAATTGTACTTCTGTACTTAAAATTTAAATTTATTTATCAGAGCTTTTCTAACATCATGTTATTGTTCGTCTGTTGAATTTAATGTTGCTAACCTTTCATAGATAATATAAATAACGTTGAACTAATAACACTTTAGAATCAACTTTAGAAGAAGTACCAACTAAAATTTGGCCTTTGACTAGATTTTGCAAAGAAAAACAACAACAAGTAATTAGATAAAAGAATATCATATCATGCGGACTTAGTTACAAGTTAGTGCACTTTGTAGCTTGTGACTGGCAGTGGACCTAAAACTTAAAAGAGACAGAATTGGTGCCTAAAAGAATAAGGAAGGTTTATTAGATATTATTAATAAGATATAATTACCAGACTATATGTTGGTATTAGTAACAAAACACGTTTTTGAAGCGTGTGTAGTAGGTTTCAGTTGTCTTGTTCAGTTGTGACACTTGAAGTTTGTTTATAAACGATCTAATTTGTATAGGAAATTTTTTCAAATGAATTATAATTTTAGTAACTGATAAAAAATTATTTGTTAGTAATTAACTATTATGTGGTACTCTTATTTGTGAACTTTGTAACACGTGAGCCTTGGATAATTGAATTAACAGTAAAATATTTGTCAGTGAAAATAAATGTCAAATTCAGGAACTGTAGTTGTTGTCAAAGATTGCATTTGCTCACTTTGAGAGTTACACAGTTTTCAAAACTGTAACAGATGCAATTGTAGTGATACTAGAATAGCAACATAAAGAACATTTGATGAACATAACTTGTGAAGTTGTGTATGGTTTATTTTGGAATATTTGTTGTTCATTATGTGTGTGTGTGTGTGTATATATATATATATATATATATATATATATATATACACACACACACACACACACACACACACACTACTACTACTACGTAGTAAGGTTAGTTTAGGTTTAAGTTTAACTTAACTTTACTTAACGTAGTTGTAGTTAAGTAAATTAA